AACAAATGTATCACATTCTGGAATCTTCTTACCCTAAAGTTTGAAGAGAGAACAATAAATAATGATAAATATAAAATATAGATAATTAATCATGACACACTGCGAGATAAGAAATTTCTCAGAAGCCCATGTTAATAAAGGGATTGTTATTTTCAGTGTTCTGGTCTCTTCCATCCATGGATGCCCTAGGAAATCTGAAACAAAGCTCAAGTGAATGTAGCCAGCTGCCCAAAATAAATGCAGTCAAGTGAGAAGTTGCAGAGCTATGACTTGGGGCACTATTATGAATTAATCTGAGCTGGAACTTCAGCTCCCAAATTCAATCATGGACTTGGAATGTACTCCAGAGAGTGTTCACAGCCAGGCAGAGATGATGTCAGATACTAGTTTCAGAAATAACAAGAGGTGAGTGACTCATGACATATCATTAATCCCAACCCCCAGCAATCCCTGGGCCCCAGATGCTACATTTATTGGATCTAATCAAATGGAGATATGATGAGTGGATGGGATATAATAATGAGGACTTAACAATTTTAGCAAAGAAAAATAAAGCGGTTTTAGTCAGAAAAGGAGAGAATAATGGAGACTATTAATACACAAATTTGTAAAAAATGAAGGAGAACACTCAAGGAACTTACTCTGCATTCCAAAGAACAGGACAATTATGAATGAATGGGAGTTTTCTCAAAACATGCTTTCTTTGGGAGATTTTCATTTCTAATAAAGATTATTCATTTTTAAGAATGAACAAGGTTACCAATAAGTTATTTTTGGGCTTACGTATTGGACAATAAACACAATACCCACACACTCCTATTCTTTAGTTTTATTTTTTCAGATTCCTTTGTATTTCACAAACTCAATCCCATGCCTTATTACCATGTTTTTCAAAACATTAACAGATGAACATTTAAAAAGTACTATCAAATTCCTTTTTTTCTCTGAATGATAAAAACATTTTCCAAGCAAATACAAGGAAGTGTTTCTAGAAACTCTTCAAGTCTTTATGGCTGAACATAGTAAAGTAGGTTAAGTATTTATCTCCTTCAATCTAGCATTAAACCATATCTAGCTAATAAATCCATGGTAACTTCCCTACTGAAGTTAGTAACACTCAACAAAATATAAGGAAATAAACTCATAAATTGTACATTATGTAACAGTACTGGACATAGTAATATACTTCACAATTTCCTAGATATTACACAAGAAAATTTGTTCTACTCTAATAGCCATGCAATCTTCTGTGGGAGCTAGCATTTTTAAGGAGTCAACCTGATAATTATTGGAATTCTTCACTTCTTTTAGCTAAAGCAACCCTCCCTTAAGCTTAAGAATAACATGTAAATAACTCTCTTTACCTCTTCACTCCCACCGCCTCATTTTTCTTTATGCAGCAAAGACCTTTATTACAACACACTGAGGAAATTATAAGTGGCAAATTGATTATCTAGCATCAGGGACTTTCTAGATTACTGTGTCAGCATTTTTGTTTTTGGAAACACATTTGTGTGTTTAAAATGCCCTATTTTTGCAGTAGAGAAATTGATTATGCTAGGGCTATAGAACTCAAGAATGTCAATCCTTAGGGTTATGCTGATGTTGGGTGTTGTAACATGCATATAAACATAAGTTAAGCCAATAGCTTAATCCCATTTTGTTCTGTATGACTCCCAAGAGGTAGAACTTGTCCATTGCAAAGTCATTTTGACAATTTTCATCAATGTTATCTTTAAACTATTATAAAACATGATGGATAAATCAGAGAAAATTTTTAATGTGGAAAACCAAAAAGTTCCATTTGTGTTTTGATGTTGAGCTTGTCTCAAAAGTTATTTATTATTAATCTTTTAAAAATAATTTATCATCAGCAGAACAAAAAGGCATCCTACAGTATGGGAGAATATATTTGTAGAGGACTTATCCGACAAAGGGTTAACATCCAAAATATATAAAGAATTCACATGCCTCAACACCCAAAAAGCAAATAAAACAATTAAAAAATGGGCAGAGGATATGAACAGACAATTCTCCAAAGAAGAAATTTAGATGGCCAACAGACACATGGAAAGATGCTCCACATGCTAATTATCAGGGAAATGCAAATTAAAACCACAATGAGATATCACCTCACACCAGTTAGGAAGGCCAACATCGAAAAGACTAGGAACAACAAATGCTGGCAAGGATGCAGAGAAATGGAAGTCCTCCTACACTTCTTGTGGGAATGTAAAATAGTTCAGCCATTGTGGAAAGCAATATGGAGGTTCCTCAAAAAACTAAAAATAGAAATACCATTTGACCCAGGAATTCCACTCCTAGGAATTTACCTAAAGAAAGCATGATCTCAGATTTAAAAAGACATATGCACCCCTGTGTTTATTGCAACACTATTTACAATAGCCAAGATATGGAAGCAACCTAAGTGTCCATCAGTAGATGAATGAATAAAGAAGAGGTGGTACATATACACAATGGAATACTATTCAGCCATAAGAAAGAAAGAAATCCTACCATTTACAACAACATGGATGGAGCTAGAGGGTATTATGCTAGGTTAAATAAGTAAGGCGGAGAAAGACAAATACCAAATGATTTCCCTCATTTGTGGAGTATAACATTGAAGCAAAATTGAAGGAACAAAATAGCAGCAGACTCACAGACTCCAAGAAGGGACTAGCAGTTACCAAAGGGGAGGGATTGGGGAGGACAGGTGGGGGAGGGTGAGAGAAGGGGATTGAGGGGTATTATGATTTATTCACATGGTGTTGGGTGGGTCATGGGGAAGACAGTGTAACACAGAGAAGTCAAGTAGTGACTCTGTGGCATCTTACTACACTGATGGACAGTGACTGCAATGGAGGATGGGGGGAACTTGATAATATGGGTGAATGTAGTAACCACATTGTTTTTCTTGTGAAACCTTCATAAGAGTGTATATCAATGATACCTCAATAAAATAAATAAATAAGTAAATACAATAATATATATTATGAAAAAAATAATTTATCAAGAAATTAGTGCTTTCCATGGACTTTATAAGTGAAAAGCAATAATTTGGCTTCCATTTCTGCCCCAAGAACTTCCCAGATGCCTTGATTATTATAATTCTCATTTCAATAGAGTATTTCATGTCTGTTCACAAAGATTTTTATTTTGGTGAAGTTTATTTTTTCCTTTGTTGCTTGGTTTTTTTGGTCCATTTCTACAAAATTATTGCCTAATCCAGGTCTTGAGGTTCACCCTGTTTTCTTGTAAGAGTTTTATAGTTTTAGCTCTTACATTTAGGACCTTAATACATTTTAGTTAACTTTTTGTATATGATGTGAGGTAGGGATCCAACTCCATTTGGGGGTTTTACATATGACTATCTAGTAGTCCCAACACTATTTATTGAAAAGATGATTTTTTCTGTAAAGAATTGTCTTGGCACCTTTGTTGTAAGTCAGTTTCACATAAATTTAAGTGTGTATTTCTGGGCTCTTGATTCTATTCCTTTCATCTGTATGTCTATCCTTACTTGATTACAAGAGTTTTGTAGTTAAGTTTTGAAATTGGAAAATGTGCGTCCTCCAACTTTGTTCTTATTTTTCAAGATTGCTTTGGTTCTTTAGGGTCCTTTACGTTTCCATATGAATTTTAGGATCAGCTTGTCAACTTCTGCAAAAACTCCAGCTAGGATTTTGATAGGAATTTAACATGTCTTATCACTTTTTGGATTAGTGCCATCTTAACAATATTAAGTATTCATTCCATGAACATGGGATGTCTTTCTATTTATTTAGGTTTCTTTGATTTTTTAACAATGTTTTGTAATTATCAGAGTATATGTTTTTCTTTTGTTAAATTTATTCCTTCAAATTTATTCCAGTTTTGAAATAAAATGTTTAGCTTTTCTAAGCCTTCATGCTTTGTACAAACATGACAGAAAGATTGATTTGTATGATAGAATACCCTGTCAATAATACTCCCTCATAGGGAAGCAATTAGAATTAAAAGACTGAGTTTCAAAGTTATCATCCTGGATCTTCCATTTACCAGCTCGGAAACTTGGACAAACAAACTGCTCTCTGCTACTTTCATTATCTGAAAATAGCTATTGAAAAAATAAAGGTAGTTATATCAGAAGGTTAAATGTAGCATAAACTCAATTCGATATGACTTATATTTAAGAAAGAGAGAGTTTATTCATAGTGTTACTAAGTGTTATGGCCAGCAAAATAAAACAGAAGGAGTTTTGGCGAGCTGCTCTAAAACCCCTTTCTTGGGAGATGTCTTAAGAACATTTTTTACAGCAGAGGATCCATGAATAAAAGGAGGTTATGTTTTATACAACCATCAAGCAGTGTGGCAAGGATACAGCTAGTTAGTGTCTTGAAAGGATCATGCTATACTCACTTCAATGCTATCTTTATGTGAGAGGAAGGAAGGGTTAAGGTTGTTACAATTTTTCCTAAGGAACTGTCTCTAGAACAGACCAGTTTATCTTCTTTGAGTATTCTATGTCGTTCCTTCTCTCTGGTCCTGGTTGAGGGTCTTGTGACAGTCTTGTAACACAGGCAAGGATAGCTGCAGGGCATTTTCACAGCACAGTGTGGGCTGACCTGGTTGACCTGAGGCCTCGACAGCTGGCACAGCTCCTCTTGCTTATGGGACCCCCGTGGAGAACCACAGAACTTCATGTTATTCCACAGCAGTAATACATTGAAAGTCCAAAGAACTGTAATTGGCACATGGTAAGCAGTTAATAAGCACAAATTATTGTTACTGCTACAATGCCCTTCTACTTCAATTCTTGCTTCCCCCAAACCACTGCTAGGGACCCACAATTACATTTTTGTGCCACTATCTTCTGGTATGTTGAGATTGAAGAAATGCTGAGAACAACTCCTTAAGCTCTTGAATCCTGTTTTCCTGATGAAGAACTTTTGTAGGAAGCCACCAATGTCTTTCTTGCTTTGTGGGATTCTGAGGTTGATTTTGTTGGTATTTTATAGCTGGCCAGCTAGCTGGAAACTCCTCTGTCGAGATGTATCGCCAAGTGCTCCTGTCTGGTTGTCGCTGTGTGGAGCTGGACTGCTGGAAGGGACGGACTGCAGAAGAAGAACCAGTCATCACCCATGGGTTCACCATGACGACTGAAATATCCTTCAAGGTAGAATGAATGAATATCGCTAAGAGAAGAAGCTGGGGGGACCTGACCCCTTTTGAGTAAAGCCTCCTAAGGTAGAAAATTCCAGTGGTTACAATTAAGTCCATAAGCTATTAATCATCTTTGCAACTAGAGAAGCTAAAATTGAGAGAATAAACTTTATCCATGTGCAGTTGGCATCAGGTGAATTAGTTCATGCTAACCAAAATCTAAGAAAACTATTTTATGAAAGGAAATATCAATTTATTTGTCTGTTTAGCACTCCTTTATTTCTTGAATGTTATCATTGTGAACTATACATAAAGGATACATACAACTTCATTTTGAAGTTTAATTAATGGATGTAAAGTATACACCCATGTATCTAACACCTAAAGCAAAAATAGAAACTTAGCGTCATTCCAGAAACCCCTTATGTACCCATTTCCATCAGAATGACCCCTTACCCCAAAGGTGATTGCCCACCTTCCTGACCACTGCACTGATGGCTACTTTGCCTTTCTTTAGAGCTGCACTAGTTTATATGCAGCCCCAAACAGTGTGGTTACACTAGTTATCTAATTTGATGTAGTGGATTAATCCTGGAGGAATTAGAATTTTGTGTTTTGCTTTTTTTCTTGCTTCATGTTGTTTGGGAGACTCATCAATATTAGCCACTTGCTGGGTTTTACATTTTATATTTTATGGAGTTATTTGGTTTCCTCCCTCCCATTCTGTCATTCTCCCACTATCTTCTGGACTGTCTTTTCCCTCCTTTTTAGCTCGTTTGCACCAGTTTGTGTGCATCATTTTTCTCATGCACATCTAAGAGACTCATGGTGGGATGAAAACCGTAATGTAAATGATATAATAATGATATTATGATGGCTTCAGGGTCATTAGTGGCAAGGACTTCTTTAAGTGCATATGCTGTAGAATCGGGAAGGTCCCAGTGACCTGTGTCTTTTGCTTGTCAGTTTGTGTTGAACCGCAAAAGGTGTGGGTCTAAGGGAGACAGGGTGGTCTCTGGGCAGAAACTGGGTGGTCTGCCACCCTCCTTTCTCCCCTCCTGCTCATGTCTAACTGTCTCCTCTAACACAGTAACTCTAGCTTGTTTACTTCCTTGATTATTACAATGATGGTGATGAAAATGACATTATTTAGTACTATTTATTATATAACATTCCATTTCATAATGCTAGAATGGAATATTGACTATCATAGGTTAGCTTTTGGCATGTTGATATCAATCAACCACTGATCCCCTAGGTATATATCTTTAGTCAAAGTGAGGATTTTTGGCTTATTCAGTCAGGGAGCACACATATCATGGGGAACTGTGGTGTCTGGGTAAGTGTGTTAGAGAGGACTTACGGGATTTGGGCTTGTATTAGGTGATTTGGGTGAAGGTTCAAGGAAGTAGTGTTTTGCGCTTGTATTGAGTGTTGTCATTAAGCAGAAATAATCCTGTGATTGGATTGATTGATCTTAATAAATCCTATCTAGAATGCAAGACTGAAGCTATAATTACCAGAGAGGAATCAGCCATTCTTATTAGCCAGAAATGGAGGTGTGTTTGGTCATTTCCCCTCTCTTTCCACCCATGTCCATCGCACATCATAAAGGACCTAATGTTTATGCGTATGGACACTCAAGCCCCCAAATCCAAGTTATATTCATATCTCCTACAAAGACCTTGGGGCCTTTTGGGTTGGAGAAATCTGGGGTCCCAGGTATCCAGAGAGTGATCTAGAAAGAGGATATGTGGACTTTAGGGGACATGTTCCCTTGATTGATTGATTCAGGCTTCTTACCTCTTTGGAAGGGAATCAGAAAAGAAGGGCCAGAAGATAGCCTGTAGAGCGCGGGTCCCAAAGCATGAGCCTGCACCTGGCTGTCTGGCTTCAGGGCAGAACTGACTCTGGCAAGCAAGGAAGCAGAGCCTCAGTGTGTGGGTAGCTAAGGTGGCATGGGAACAAGGCTATTGAAATGCAGAGGTCAGAGGGCTGAGAGGCCAGACCATTAGATGAATTCAATGTTAGTACCAATAAGATTGGTGAATACAGGAAGCCATTTTCGACAGTCTTTGCTCAGTACATGGCAGATAGGAGGAAGCTGGTTTGGCTGCCTCATGAGAACTGGGTTTTTGTGTTTTTTTTTAAATAAGAAAATTGAGAAGTAATGCTTTAGAAGTAGCATTGGGAGCAAAACATCCCACTTTCCAGCTTTAGCCCCAAGGTGCTCAGGATGTAAGAAAATAAACAGTTACCTCTTGGGAGAACAGCAAAAGAGAAGCAAGATTTTGAAAGGACAGCCAGGTTTCAGTTGAGATAAATGGATTTCCTGATCAAAGGCAATGTATTTGACAGTAATAAAAATATGTTCAGAAGTAATATCATTAACACCTTAAAATATGTTTACTATGCTGTGTTTAGGGAATTTGACTTCATAATTTCTTAAACTCAAGGTACAATAATTAGCACCCTTCACTAAATTTTACAATGAAATTTAATATGGGATGGACCTTAGTGCTAATAAAAAAATCTTTAAAAACTGTACCTGCTCCTTAAAATTGAGCACTCTTAAGATCTTTCATAGTCTCCTACTGCCCCAGCTCCTGCCATTTGTCCTGTATCCACTATCTAAGATACCAACCCTAACCTGTTTGGGCTGCTTAAGAAAAGTGGGGGACAGATGTTCTGATGTGGGGTGAGTGCAGTTTGGGCTCCTGTGTCTGTTTTGGGGTGGAGATGATTCTGGAAAGGGAAACAGCTCATCCTGATAGAGCCATTACTGAGCTCAGGAACTGAAATCCTTGTGCACTGACCCTCTGGCCAGGAGGGCCCATCCACCCCCCTGCCTGTGGTCCCCTCAAAGTTTGTGTGAGGAGCACTTAAATATTCTTAAACACTTATAATCCTTACAGTTCTTTGACTTCCCATGGTGGTGAAGGGCAGGGGGGTGTTGGAGGTAAACACTAAGCACATTGTAAAGCATATTTATTTTATGTGGAGCATTAGTGTCCTGGCCTTGGCCTTGAAGTCAGCGTAAAGTGACCAACTCTCCCTGTGCACTTGACTGCACATCTGGTTCTTCAGTCACATCTGTGATCCCAGAGTCACCAGCTGATTGACATCTGGTCCTGGATGCTGGAAGCACAACTTTTCAACCTCATCCACACACTTGCTAACAGATTTAGAGCCTAAAAGACTGTATCTAGCCCAGAATAATGCTTCCTCTGTCTGCCTACTGGAATTGGGGGTGGGTAGTTGTCACAGAGAGCCTGAAACTCATCTCCCTGGGAGTTGGTTCATCCGCTATGCATCCTGCTAATCTGCAGGATAGATAATTGGTGCGTGGTGGTGGTGGTGAGCGGGGATGAATATGGTGAATAGAAATGCAAATTTTGCATTAGGCACCTCCCTTGCCTTACCCTGCTTTGCATGATTATCAGCATGTGGTCTGCCTTGGCAGAAACCACTTTGTACAGTGACTTTGTGAGAAAGGGTAAGAAGAGAAAATATGGACAGAGGCCCTATGTGATCTCCCTCTGTCCCCACCCACTGGCCTGCATGCCGTTTCTTAACTATGCTGGGCAGGTCCCAGGTCGTAGCCTTTGCATAGGTTGTTACCTCTACCTGGAGTGCTTTTCCTCCAGGTTTCTGCACAGCTCACTTATCACCTCCTTGAAGCCTTTCTCAGGTGCCGCCTTCTCAGTGAGGCCTACTTGGACCTCCCTATTTAATACTGTAGTGAGCCATCATGCCACTCCCACACTCATGATAGATTTCCAACAACTGCTTTGCTTTCTCTGTTTACCAAGAGGCACATACCATCTTTTACCTGTCTGCTTTATCACTTCACTCTTATGTCCCTTGTTTATTGTCTGCCTAATTCTGCTAGCATGTAAGCTGCATAATAACAGCCATCTTTGTTTTGTTCCCTGAACTGTCCCAAGCACTTCGGAAAGAAGCGGCATATAGTAGGTGCTCAATTAATGTTTTTAAAATGAATTTTCCCATCCCAAAGCAAACAGACAAATTATAGCACAACCTTCATTTTCAGTCTTTCTTGCCTCTATTCATCAAGTAAACGAATTTTGTTTTTCTCCATTTCCACGAGTGAAAGTAGTAATATATTTTGTATATATTATAGGCAGTAAAAAAGAGTTTGGGGCTATCCCATGTATTTGGACCTGGCCTTCAAGGTCTAATCAGACTGTAGTCTGTGGCCAAAATGTGTATTACAGCAATGAAATAAACTGATTGCAAAAGTTCATCATTTTTATCCCACACAGTTTAGCTGCTCTCAGTCTGTGTAATCTGGAAAGCTTCTGTGCGATATATCGCCAAAAGTAAAAGTTCCTATCAGCATTTACCACTTATTTATTGTACGGGCCAAAAATAAAAGGTTATGTTGTGGGAAAGGGGACTTGCTGTAATTCAGTGTTTTTATGGAGGGCTTTTTATTTTGCACCCTGGATTTACTTATTATTTATCTCATATATCTGCCCTTCTGCTTCTTTGCCTCATTGCCTCAGCCTCGTGGTCATTTCCCACTTGTTCTTCATTCTCTCTGCTCCCCGTCAATTTCCTACCTCCTTATACTGGACACCCACCCATCTACCCCATCCCCCAAATTCCTTTTTTGCCCCTCGGGTAGCTCTTTTGTAACCAATGATTGTGCATGATTAAAAACTAGGTAATGTGATGAAATATATGATGAAAATATATTAAATTTGAGTTTGTGGTTAAATCTAGCATTTCTGAAAAGAAAGCTGCATTTGCTGAGAGAAATAATAATAATTTAGGATCTAATTTAACTGCTACATAAATGCTCACATAAAATGGCTAGCCAAATACAGCCTGCTGTTGTCTGTCAAGGAAAAAAGATTTCAAGGGCAGTTTTTCCCACTGGAGGTTGGTAATTGAGCCATATGGTTTACAGATTATGGAACCCAGTGTTAGAAGCCTCTGAAAAATGGTTTTGGCTTAATAAGGAGCAGTCGAGCAATATGGTACATT